CTGAACCGAGATAATAGGTTTTAAATTTTAAGTCTAGCCTCGATCATCATTACTAAAAGAGGTACGATAAAAAACATAGTGTCGGTACGATTTCAAAATCAGAGAGGCATCACAGTAGTGCGCTACATCGATCAAGCTCCGAGACCCCACGGCATACCACATTTCGCACATCATCGAAACAACGTTTTCCAGCATGACAACGCCCGTGCCCACACCGCCAGAGATAGCAGAACGGTGTCAACGTTATGTACTGGTCAGCTCTTAGTCAACATTTTTGGGAGGAAATACAGAGGAGACTTAATAACGTCGTGCCGAGACAAAACACAGCCGATGGATTGTGCCAGGCTTTTCTGAGAGTGTGGTTCCGGGTGTCAATGGCGTTCATCAATCGTCTGGTCCACTCCATGTACAGACGCTGCGCTGCTGTTATTGACACTCGCGGTAGACACACCAGATACTGATGTATAGACTGTGTACAGACTCTAAACCTTCTCGTAATGGCTTGGAATTGTGATGAATTAATCACTAATGTGTCAACATACTGTTCACAAAATTTTGATTTGATCCATTTATTAAGTCGTTTTCTAGAATGATTTTAGAAGTTCCTCTCTGATTTTGAAATCGTACTGACGTTTTTATTTGCTGTTTAGTGTATTAATGTCTAGTTAATAGTTTATAATTATAACATTTCAGGTCTAAAGAAAGACCTGCAATAGGCAGATTTAGCTCTTGCATAATGTATGTTTAGTGATTTTATGCTTCCATGTTATTTCGATTTTACTTATTAACGGTGGATGAATTTCCTGGCTGGGCTTAAGGCCGTGTATACGTGTGCAACGTGTATAACGTGTGCATTTCATATATTCATCAATTATGACACTAAGTAATCTGTAAAACGTTGGTGTTTTCTTTGACAGTATTCTACTTGTACTAGTGTAATTATAACGTTATTATGTATGGTTTAATAACTTATGGATGATTAAGCCATCGATTATAAATACCATCCATTTTATGAAAGTTTCTATTAAAAGCAAGTTAGTTATAATAGATTTATGTTATGATCGGCCATTATCGCAGAATTCTGACATTTTCCAACCTTTGATCTCACAATGTCTGGCTTTGTTGGCACAGCTCATGAAAATATGATTTTTCGCCACAGAAGCGTGGGCGCTCGGAAGTAACACCAAGAGGCTTATACTTGACATGAACAACTTCGCCCCCGCCTATTATCGGTTCGTTTCGTGCTATATGTTTGAACAAAAGATTGTTGGAGCCCAACTCTAATCTAACAATAATATCGTTTTATATTGGTCTGTATCTATACAAATATTCAATAGGTCACGTTTTCAGATTAAATCAAATCCTGGATTCAGGGAAAAAAGTGAAGCATAATCGATAATCGTTTCCATGGGATTTAAATCACGGCACAATAACGATTACATTTAACGCCTATGTCGAGAAATTATTAAATTCCATCGACAGATAATGATCAAAATCGCAAAATATCTATTTTTGCTATAGTAATATATTCTGTTCATGTTTCGAGTAATAATAATAATGATATTTTACGATACCGACGGGCTTAAAAGAGAGCTGTATGCATTGCCACAACCATTTATAGTTGAAAAGTTTAAATTAACCTTTGTTTTGAACACGAAATCCTATAGGAACCATTTATACTTGAAGATTCTAAATTACTAAATTACCTTCTTGTTAGAAAGTCAAGAATTATGACAACCGTGTTAACTATAATAGTTTTAGATCAATAATTAGAGATACTTTTCCCGCCTACAAACTGTGTGATTTCATGATATATTTGGACTAAAAACATATTCAAACAAATTAAAAATTTGCTTCAAATCCATCTCAAAGCTTCACGCCGCGGGGATATACCCCAAACTATAAATAAACTGTTATTATAAGCCATGTCTGCCACCTCACTTCATTGAGCGAGGGTCCATATTTCAGAATGTATTTTTCATTATTTACCATTCATTTACCATACCCATTGAGGCCTAGGTAAATTCTTAATTATTTTCTGTCAACTTCCTTTTCCGCCGTTTAATTGCAGAGTCTGTTGTACGTTGACACCCCTCAATGTTCCCCAAACCGCCTAACCATTTGATCAGGACATAACAACCGCCCCTCCCCCCCATCAAGCTAGCACACATTAAGCTGGCAAACAACAGTCGAGTTGCCAGTTAGTGATACCCTGACATTTTTGCCCAGTGCTTGGCCCATAGGTGGTTTTCGGGTAATCCAGTATTTTTCTACTAAGATTGGGTACCGGAATAAGAATATATGAATCTCCTATTTACTAAGAATTACAATGTTGGAAATCTTATTTACTAACAATTACACTATTGAAAATCCTATTTAATAACAGTAACGATTTTGAAAAAGTTATTCGATAGCAATTACGTAAATCTGATTTCGTAAAAATTACAATATTGCAATGTTAAATATGCCTGGTATGATAGCTCAGTTGCGTTCTGTCGAAATGGTTCATTAGGTTTTGTATTTATGGAGCTACTCTTACATTCCAGGTTTTTAGCTTAAGTCTCGATATGTCATTTTAAGCAATGGAAATCACTTTATGTAGAAGATTGATCTCTGATAGGAATATCATTAAAAAAAAATGGTACGATTCCATTGAGTGTTCACAAAGATATGTGGAACTGAAATTTTATCGACTGGTGCTGCTGGAGGTAACAAGTCGCCGACATCTTTTATCGATAGCGAGAAACCTGATTGGCCTAGTTTAAATCCAATTGGGACCAAGCCGGGAGATTATCTTGCGTTGGAATTTTGATTTTATGTTAAAAAATCAACCTGAGACCATATGTAGCGTGCAGTAAGTCGTGAAAAATTTGATATTTTAGCGAAAGTGGAAATGGCGCATCGAGAATTTAAGTGGACGAAATGAACAAAATATAATCCAACCCGCGGGATATATGCATTTAAGACTTGAAGTATTAATAACATTCGTTGCACCTTAATGGTTATTTCTTAACAATGAAACATAAAATGGCTAAAAGAAAAAAATAATCACCTGTTCCTAATTTCCTTTCCTTTTTTTCAAACTACGATTTTACAATAAATAGCTTTGCTTGATGTTATATAAAATGTTCATTTGTTCTGTTGAAAAGAAGCGAAGGGATATGTAACATCCTACGCAGCATACAATAATTATTGTCATTTCAATCATTATTGTGGATGAAAATGTAATTATCAACCTTTAGCTCAACTAACAGGCAGACAGAACAATCTATTAGCATAGTCAACTATTTTGGACCTTTTCTAGACCCTCAAAAGAAAAATCGCTGGAAGCACAGAATTTGAAGATAACCAGACAATGCATGGAAATACATCAACACAGCAGATGGTTCGAAAAAGAAGACAGAAGGAAAACTTATTATCCCTTCAAAAAGTCTGATCTCTATCGTTTTCAAAAAGCTTTTTCGGATATGTAATATCAATTGGGTGCATCCTGACCGATGTCCCCAATGCTTTAAACTAAATAGAAGGGTTTATTTGTTCATATTTCACTCATCACGGGAGGTCATGCGACATATTTTTGGTTCAGTTAGATGGTTGAAATTAGCCCGTGCTGCACGATTTATTAAATACTAAAGTACATTATTTGTTCATAGTATCATTTAGCTCTAGAGGTTATCTTATATTCTGAATGAACAGGTAAGGCTCCGTGGTGGACCACCTTCGCGAGGTGCTGACATAGTCATTACGTCTTGATATCTGCGCTGAGATGGCGCGCTTGATTGTAGATATATATTGTTCGCATTCGAAATTTACCCTTAACTAGCCTCAATTTTCGGGTTTAAATATTTCTGTAAAGATCGGTAGTTATTGACATGGAAGCCCGAATTTTCGACAGGGCACAGCATACAGCTACCATTAGATTATATTTATTACCAATGGATCACTTTGACCATGATTCTGTCTAGACATAAATGAGACCACCATATTAGACCAAAACATGAATACAATCAAAATGGGAGGTATCTAAGTGCACGAATAAATATATAAATGAATGAATGCCTTATGATTAAACTAAGTCTCTACTCTCAGTGGCGTAATACTGAATTGTGGGCTTGGGGTGACGCAATAACCAAAAGTGTTCCAAATCTTTGAATCCCCCACCCACCAAACTCATTGACCTTTCAACTCTCTAATATCCTTCTAAGTCTTTACGAAATAGTACCAAACGTTGCTACAACCAATGTTGAACTTCAATATAGTTGATTATTTCATATACGGATACGGATAGATATTAAATATAGTGAATACAATGGTTAGAGGGCCTGGCTGGGAGGAAATACCGATGTCCCGAAAACACATTGGCGTGCACGTAAAAGACAGTTGGAATTCGATATAAGAGTAGGTTGTCTGGGCACAATTTCCCTTATAGCACACTGTATGGTGGGTGCCACTCTTTATTAGCCTAGTCGGTGCAGAGCAGTAGGACGTTAACACCAACTTTTTTCATTTCTAATTATATAAAAGGAGTCTGAAATGTATGTATGGTCGGGGTTGCCTTCACTCTTGTAATGATATAGATGTCACGAAAACTTCTCCCAACTGGACCCTATTTGAACAATCGGTTGAATAGTGACACTAGCCCCGTGGTTTGATCTAAAGACGTCCTAAAGGTAGAGAAGCACATTATTTATTTCGATTAAAGGTGTCAACCTTTAGTTCCATCAACAGATAAATCTCTGCCGTGTAAACTAAGTATTGCTTGCTAACGTTTTAAATGCCAAGAACAAATCAATAATAGAATGTTGGCTGGGCCCACCAGCTTTATCCATTAGCTAACTAAGCTAGATGGAGTTTTGTCAAAGCTGTTTTATGCATAGCTTATTTATAAGAAACCGTGTCATTGTTCCCTTTGATTCAGTAACGTTTGTTCTAAAGAAAGCGCAAGTTTTTACCCCTGGCAATCTACAGCTATAGGCGCACAGAAATACTGGACAACCTGGAATTTTCCCTTTTTTATTACAACACAACCAGTATTTGACAATGACAAAAATAGAAGAAGATGCTCAATATATAGCCACTGCAGAGGTGTGCGTTTTCATAAAACAAGAAAAACTCCAAGTGCGTTAACAGCAGTATATGTTACTAATAGTAAGTCCAAACACACGTTATGTTTTAATTAATAAAATTTATTTGTAGCGTCGCTGTACACTGTATAGTAAATTGTAACAATATTTTAACATTTTTAATAGATAAATATTTTATGTATGTACATTATGTTCAATTATGAGAAAAAAACAAAACTCTTCTAAGTTTGGGGACGAAAAAATAAAACAATTATGGCGGAAAGGAATACAGAAGTAATCTGTAAAGATAAAAGTAAAATGAACAAAACATTCTCTTTTTGTATATACAGTTCCAAAAGATCTCTAAATTTGAAGAAAAATGTCTTGAACTTAACGCTGTTGTGATCAAGTATATTTATAAATCAGTGTATTTAAAGCTAGACAAGAAGATAACGGGTAAAAGAGTTTCGTTTTCTCCACAATAAAGAGAGATTATGTATAACGAAAACGCACAGATCTGCACAAGCACCAAAGAAATGTGATGTATTATTAAGTACAATATGTATTTACAATGTGTACAATTTATTGTTGACGTATAATGAAAACATAACAATATATAAACATAGATAAACCTGAACACTAACATATTTAATTGGAATAACTTCACAGGGAATGTGTGGTGGGATTATATATTTCTCTCTCAGCATACACATCCGATCTGAGCGTTTAAAATATTCCCAGCACTATCACTTAATTAACCCACTCTATCGCTCTCCTATCTTTGGTTCTTTAGGTTAATTTACAATTTCGACAAAAACAAAAATGTCGTTTGGTCCGAACCGCACTCACACCATCCACTCATTCAACCGCCATTCTCAACAACTGCCGGTACCTTATACGTCGTCTCGATGAGCCCTTTGGTCGGGGGTAAGTGGTGAAAAGTTACATGCCATAAACCACAATATTGTACATGTACACTAATTATTAAGTCACGAAATCAATAAGATAAGGCATGTGTTTTTTTCTTACTAAGCATGAGATATTTCGGGTATTTAGTATTCTCAAAAATGATCAAATTTAATACCTCAATATTTCAAATTGTGTTCTGCTACCTACTATTTTAAAATATAACTTTTTGCACAGTAGCCATTTTACATAGAAAAATAATTTTTGGCTTTTTGAAGACATTTAAGAACTGAAGAAGACATTGTTTCCATATCGTTCACCTTTAAAACGTCATGAGCCGAGTTAATCACATTATTTTTCTAAATCGTTTTTCAATCACCAGTGTCTTTTTGGGGGATAAAATGGTTTTTTTTATGGCAGTTAGCCGAATGAAACATTATGATAATCTGTGTTATATCTTAAAACAAAAATAACAAATGACCTTTTAAGATATAATTTGAATAAAAACGATTTATGTTTCCAACACATCAGCAGAATTATTAGTAACAAAATATATCCACTCTTCTCTTTAGAACAAAAACTTATTAAGCACATTCCACATTACATCTTAGCTGTTTTATCGAGCACAGGTACCACAGGTGCTGAAATAAAGATAGCAGTTTGTTATAATTGAGCACACACCCATCTAAGTAAAAATACGGTCGTTTTGAGAGTGTCTTATTTCATTGCTTTTATTTCTTCATATTATTATGCTCACCGCGTCCTTTAGCCCTGTGATTATCCTTTAGTTCAAGATTCCCCAATCACCAATGCCTATATAAAATGTCTGTAATGAGGATAACAACTTCTTAGATGATTCCGCCACACAATGTCCCGCGTTGATGTTTTGGCCCACAGAAATGTAGATGTAGTCAATACAAGTCTTAATGAATTTATATAATGCGAGTAGATTCTTTCTAGGATGTTTTTATTACTCTATAAATCCTTAATTTAATCGATATGTCTTTATGCGGCGCCATGGGATGAATATATATTAGGATTCTATTGAACACATATAGTGTCATTGTGAGCTTTACAGCTTTTATACCACACATAAAATCGATAGTTATGTGGTATTAAGTCTTGCAGTAGCAGATATATCTTTCGTTTAGGTTTCTCATAATGGATGGAACATGACTATAAACAAGCATTCAGTATGGAAACTGTGGGAATTTATCCCTGGGCTTATTTCGCAATTTTACAATGTTTAATGAATGATTTATTATATTAAACAGTCGGTTGCGATATAAACAATGAACAAGTCAAACGTTATTTTTTAAAATTAAAATGAGAGGGTGCTAGTTTACTAAAGTATCATAACTTTTGAAATAATAAGTGCATTTAAGATGGGTTTTGCAAAAGTTACCATATGGCCTACAGCTATCCGATAATATTTACCTTCTGGTTTTTCTTCTGTAGCGACTTTATTCTCAGTTTCTTCTGAGCTTTCGTTTGAGGAACTTTCAGTGTTTTCTTCAGATGACATATCTTCATCTTCATTTGATGATTCTTCTGGTAATTCCTCTGATTCCGCAGATTCCTCTGATTCCGCAGATTCGTCTGATTCAGAAGATGACTGTGAGCTGCTGGAAGTATCTTCACCGTCTTCTTCACTGATAACTGGCTGAGATTGTTCAGTCTCTGACATATCTTCCATCAAAGCTCTGGCTAACATTTCAGCTGAAATAAGGTCAAATATTATTAAAACCACAATACCACAGTGACCAATCTGCCAATAACCCACTTAAGTAAATTATTTTGGAATTGCAATAATTCATAATCTACTTACCAAGAATCTCTCGGATCTGGCCGATATCATCCATATCATCATCTTTAGAAACGATGCTGTATAAATATTCAACAAGAGCCTGAGCACGAGCATCACCTGAAATCGATAACACATCGCCAATTAAATAATGCCACAGTAATAGGTAAAATCAGTTATATCTTAGCAGTTGTGTCTAAAGACCATTCCAATTAAAAAGCTTGACGCAAAAAACAAGTACAAAATTTTCTTAATTACCAGCTTCGAATGCTTGATTCCACCAGGCTTCAAGTAAAGCGTCAATGGCAGCACTCAGTGATCTCTGGTTATTGATCAATGCTTCTTGTACAACTTGCTGGTTCTCAAGGGATAGTTCATCTGGGTTATAAGCTCCTTGGTAATCGTTATATTTGTACAAATCGTTTGATTTTTTCTGAGGAACCTGTGGTTGGTAAGCCTGTGGGTAGTAAGTTGGGACGGAATCCTGTTGCTGTAAAGGATAATCAATAATATTTATGTAATCAATGTTGATCTAATATATAATGAAGTTCTTCCTTTCACTTTAACTCGAAAAAGGTTCTGCTCAGGTAAGCATGAAGTGTGCTATAAACGCTAAGTGTCGTTAAAGACTAAATTACTTACACCGGGAACGCTACAATAGAAAGTGTTACTTACTGACAATTCAGCTTGGTAAGCATCAATTTCAGCGAGAAGTCTCTGGTATTCAGCCATTACTTCCTGTTGATAATTCTCGGCTTCTGATTCGGTCATCTAGTAAAAGCAAGAATAACATGAACCAGATATAATTGTATTTTAACTAGGGGGAAGTGGTGGACTACTTTTAGTTCATCTATTTATATTAATAAATACAAAGGAAGACTCACAATATTTATTGTGTCACGAGAGTCATTGCTATAATTGAATTTATTTAATATAGGTTTCTGATTGAATATACTATGGTACCTTGAAGTTTCAACACGAAAATAGAATTTTTCAAGAAGCCAAATGACACATAGACGAATAACACAGACAAGTTACAATCGGGCTTAAACCAATTGCATTTATTTTGTATGAACGAATTTACGTTAATTAAGGATATGGTAATCGATTACCAAGTGTAGTCCAGACGTGTTGTAATTTTCCCGTGTTGATTAGGGAATACATTTTCTCAATAAGCACTATAAGACTGGTGGTCATTAGTGTTTAAATAACACGAGAGGCTTTATTCACCAAAAAACTTAAACGAAAATATCTTAATAACCCAGACTTTTTATTATGCCAAGAACTAAAAGTTATCCTGAGAATTTAGCTCTCGGCATGTGAAGTGCATAATTAATATATTTTAGTTTAAGTTTTCTTGAATTAGGGAAGAAAAAAGGGGCAGTATATGGTTTAATTGGGGCCCATTTAATACTCTTCCATTTCGTCTCAATCATTTATTTATTTGAATGAACTTACAACTGAAGAGTTCACCAGATCTTGTAAAGCAGAATAAAAGTTTTCAAATTCTCCAGTCTCCAGAAGATATTCGGCAACAGCCGTGGGTGTGAATTCAATACTTTCATCGCTGCCATCCTCCACTCCATCCTACAAAAATAACAGGAAATTGTCAACATTAGAACGTTGCATCTAGAATCAATGGAGAGGGGTTGCTAGGCAATCGATGGTTCGTTAGCTCGTGCGCTAGTGGCGATGAGCTATTACAAGTTGTTCCTGTATTGATCTATGTACTGAAAGATTGCTATCAATGTGAGTGGGAGGAAAGTCGATGACGTCAACATAATAACTGACGTCAATGTCTGCTCCATTTGGCGTTGTTTAAACAGTTACAAACAAACCAGAATATCCTCTAAAGTAATTTTTGATCGATTTCTATATCCATATCCTGCTGATCCGTGACAGAAACAGTCACCAACAAAGTCCAAATATAGAAATCTATATTGAAGTGTTTAAATTGATAGGTTTAGAATATATCACTATTCTAATACGGTTCAGCAACACTCTAATTACATCAAACGAAATATTGACGCTACGTCAAGTCTTATGCTTATTAAATTATCATACTAAAAGGAAGAAATTGTTTTACTCAAAACTGAAGTAATTGAATTTAAATTTATATCGTTTCCCCATTGAGAATACGTTTCTTCTTCTAACCATAGGAAAATAAAGATGTTTTAGTCGGGTTAATCAATTTTAGAAAATAAAAGTTCATTTGTAAATAGCGGCTTGGGAAATGAATCACGTATTCTGATATCCTGGGAGTACTTACTTTACGACGAAGTAAATTGAATTTCGCAAAGTAAAATCGTTGTTTTCAAAAAAAGTTTTCGATTTGTTGACAAGATCAACAATCACAATTGAATACAATTGGTCTGAAGTAACATTATCCCAAATATCCTTTGGCAACCACACTCTTCGAAAATGTATACAAGCGCTTCCAGTGGTATGCTAAGTGGTTGTCAGTTTAGGAACTTGTATTTAAAATTTCATTTTTGTGTTTCTGGCGCGATGCAGTGCTTATTGCCGTTTTACTCTTGGTCGAATGTCGTCTTTGAACAAGAAGCTGCTTTAGATGATGAACCGCTTTACGTTTTATCCGAAGTCGATAAGTGTTCTAAATATTCCGTTGGTTTCAATATTTGAGGATCAATAGAAGAGAGGCGTTTTTTTTATCGCGTGATTTTGTAATTAGCTCATTCTTTGTGAACCATTAATCATCAACAGGTGATATATTTATTATTTATAATATCTCTAAGCAATGTTTACTGTCATTTATCATTAATCTTTGTATCCAAAAGGTGTATAAATATTATTGACCATGTAATGATGAAAGGGATAATACTACAATATGGATAAAGTATTCGGGTATCCATACAATATAGAGGTTTTCAATAGTTTGAAAAATAAACATTGGTTTCATATTCCGTAAAATGTGCTATCGATATATACACGTTAACCAATTTGTCCCGAGATCTTGTTTGGTGCATGACTCACCCGATCATTCATGGAGCGGGACTAGAAATATTGCAAGTAGTGAGACATTTAATATCAGATTTAATTTTTCAAGTTATATCCCTCGTGTCACCTGCAAGCCATCAGTGGAAAAATAAACTCAACTTGTCGTTACTTACCTTAGCGGTATTTTGTATGATCGTTTTATGGATGTCTTCGGCTGGAATATCGACTTTGGTTTCAACTACTCTGTGAGGTTCGTTGCTGTTTGGTGATTTACTTTCTGTAACATCTTGTTGTACGTCAGATACGACTTCTCCTGTTTGCGTATTGGTAACTGTAACATATTTATACACTGTTCGTTATTTACCCATTTAAAATGCGCATCTGTCATTAAATTCTTTTTATTAACTTATTAGTGGAATTGCATATTTATTTTTACTATCTCTTTTTTTTTCTTTTTCAAAATTAAATACTTTGTGTGTAAAATGTTTTACCTCTTTGTTCTACTTCTTCGTGTTTAACTTCTTGTCCATTTGTATTTTCAACGTGTGTCGTGTGACTTTTATGAATAGCAACGTTTGGGATCTGAATATTTTTACCTTGAAAAGAGATGAAAAGTTTGAAAATACGTCTACTATAATATTAAAACAAGTCGTAAAATGATTATTGACAGGTAGAGAGAAAGGGGGTTAACGTTTGCATCTTGCAACCAAAGAGTAGGCCTATGGTTAGAAACTTTTGGGAATTTAAACAATGGTAGTTGAAAATGAAGATCAGAGATTGAATTTACGCCCAATATAACAACAAAGCACGAACAGCAAGCAATATAAAAAAATTATTATTAAAAATTGGCTTCTTATGATCATGCCTTTTTATTTTGAAGATTGCAACATGAAATCTAAAAAAAAGATCCCTTTGTCGTCCGTTAAAAATATTCGCCCACAAGTAGACGAGATGGGAAATATGTGTAGGCGGTTTAAATCCATTTCTCTGCTGGAAAAGCTTTTGGGCATTTTTCCATCAAAACGGATTAAGTCTACGGGAATTTTAATATACCCAAGGGAAGCTCTTTACAATAACGCGACAATCAGACAAAAGATTTAGGATTGAGCTAACCTGCTAGGGACAAAAGACTCTCTAGTTGTTTTTCTTGATCTTGTACTTGATTTGCGCTTCTTTTCTCTTCACCTGAAACAAATTAAAGTCCAATGATAATAAATTAAAATTCATTACTTGAAGCCTTCTTAGTCGCCAATCTTTTCGCAAACAGTTCAGTAGGGCTCACCAAAGAATATCTTGAAACAAACTCTCTCCACGATAATAACAGTTACGTCTAAAATATTTCAGTATTGCGGAGAAATAAAATCGAAACTAGGCAACCGAAAAAAAATAATTACGATAAAGTAATTTACATAGAGAACTACATGCGCCTCGGTGAACGCCAGTGGATTTGTTACCTCAGCTGATAAATAAGTTAGTGTGCAAGGGTCATTGTTGGCCCCTTGATCAGTTTTATCAAATGTAATTTTATTGTAGGTTGACAAATTATATATACATTAATGACATCAACCAGTTAATTTATTCTGGTAATCATTGTTATCTCAAAGACTCATTATGTCATGAAGTCACAACTGCTATGCTATTGTCCAAATCATTAGGAGAACCTCATTAGCTGTATTGATAATAACGGACAGCAGTCCTCCACGTCAGTCTATTCTATATCATTACAACTAATGGCGTATTTCTGATCTATTAATCAAGTAATAAACATTTTCCTTTTTATTTCCAACTAGGATCAATCGAAGGTTCGACAGACAGTCTTAGAAATAAATTCTCATTACCAAACATGGCCAGGACTCACCTAATGAACATCTATATCAAGTTTTGACATTCTAGCTCAATTAGAAGTAAAAGTGTGACGGGCAGAATGGCATAAATATGAAAATGGGCGTGATAGAAATATCACGGGCTTTGTGAATATAAAAGGACGATCTCTGTAGGAGTTCAAAAGTTTAAACAATCCGTATAAATATATTAATGGAGTCATTAATTTCCTTACAAAATAATACAAAACGGAGGTTTATGCTCTTGAACAATGCCACCAGCGATCGTCTAGTAGATTGTCCAACTAAAAAGCAATCAGTTGATGTTGTCCAGAAGGCACTTTCTAACACTTGGATTTACATGGTTTCGAAGACGCAAGACGTAAAGTTTCCGAGGTATTATTATCTCTGAGTACTCTCGGTCGTGTTTTATATGATCAATCTGAAGGAAAAATAGCACTTAAATATTTTATGAAAGGACGGCGAGTAAATGGACTAGGCTTAATGACTACCTATAAATTGGACAGTCAACAGAATGGAAATTAAGGCAATTAGTTCAAAGGTGATCGGCCGCGATAAACGTAAATGCCAATAATTGTAAACCTTACACCATCTCATGTCAAGAAGAGAATCTTTACAGACGACCTAACCTTATCACCCAGCTAGAAATAAGGCAGCAAACGGTGGAGATTAATAATACAATTATATGGAGTTCCATAATGCCAAACATATCTTGCATCATGAAAATATGGTTGTACCAAATATATCAATGATTATCAACAACTTAATGGCATGCCATTTCCTAGGCTCATCACACCTTTTTCTTAAAATTTTTTTTAAAAAAACCCCTACAATTTTATTTTGCTCCATTGGGCAAACACGCGCGCGATCATCATATAAATATATGGTATCTATTTTTCCGCTAGATACATTGAATTAAAGGTTATGGTGTTTTATCACTGTTTCCAGATGTTCAACTTACAGGCGCTACGGCACTTAATAATTTGGTTAAAAAAGTATTCGCAACGTTGGAAACTACTCTGATTTAATTACAGTGTGCTCTGTAAGAATTTACGCTAATAATCCCCGCCATCTTCTGCTGTCATTATCCATTCTCGATAACGGCGTTATCTAATTGAATTGCTAATGATAACATTAGGAACATGGCATGTTTCTAGTTTTCATTACATATCAATGTTAGGATGTTAGGATGGCGGATGGTATTAAAAATATATACCCGCTTGCCAATAAGTTTCTTGTGGACGTGACAGCAGCCTACGAGATGGATGTCCTTCTTGATACCATGGATGCTTCAATTTGCACAAATGCAACGTGGTTAATATGGTAAACTATTTTCAGAAAACAAAAACACAATTTAAAGAATATGTTTATTGCTTTACAATTATTCATAGATCCGTTTTTGTCTGTCAAAAGACATGTTTTGGATAACTGAATTGCTAATGATAACATTAGGAACATGGAATGTTTCTAGTTTTCATTACATATCAATTGAAAACAACTCAACACAAAATCTGCTATGTGCGTATTGTGCAAGAAACACCCTTTATAGATCAATAAGTTAACTTTAACTTGATTATCGAATCGCCTTGAAAGTCTTATACTACAAACGTATTTTGCAGATGACCTATTATTTGAGTTTCCAGAAAACTAATTTACCCAAGTTAAGATACATGTTTTGTCGCAAAAAAGCAGTTTAAAGTGATCTACTGTACGCCTAATAGAACATAGCGACTTGATAAAGAATACCATTACAAAATTGGTCTTTTCACATTATTCTCAATTACATATAGAGTGCCCTGTCCAATTGCTAAACCAAATATAGTTAATCCAGTGTGTCAATAACCTTTAAAAAGTTTTGAGCTTGTATAATGATCACATCACTAGTCTTGTTCTTAGATACCAGGAACATTAAATTGTTTTTTTTATATAAAATTGTTCCTAACATGCACGGAATAAGACTATCAATAATTACTTAACGCCTGTATTCAACCGTCAATCGTGGTCTTGCGGCTTTGTTATAAAGAAATTCAATACCTTTATTTCACGTTTGGGAGACCTTCAGATAAATTACTAGTTGTATCTACATTTCGCTAGTCACGATTCAGAGCTTCTTGGAGACTCAGAAAATTAAAGCGCAGTTTCGAATCAGTTACGAAAAAAAGGGTTGTTTTATAAGTTAGAAAGGACACTGGGTCTGTGATTTTTGTCTCCTCTATAGCTCTCTTACACTAATTTAAGTCACATCTGAAATCATTCATAACTAATCACGGATACAAAAAAATACTGTAAGAGAGCTGCGGGCAACATCAATATCAGGCAATCTGACATTGAATCGAAGCAGAAGGTAATTTGTTCCGTCTATCATTCTAGAAGAACAGCTTAGAGCAAACTAGTAGATGATATAAACGGTATGATTATTTGTTTCACTTAAAATGTTTTTGAACAAAAAGCAAACAATTTAGTATCAATATTTCAAATTCAGATAAAGGGTCGCTAAACAGAAGAGAGCGAATACTAAACTTAAAACTGAAACGCAATCAGAGATAGGGGACTCATCACATGAATTGGTCGCGAGAATATGGGAACATGTATTCTGGTATTAATTGGTAACAGTTACAAATACAAAATACGACACAAAAGACTAAAAACTAAATCTAATTAAATCTAATAGAACAGGTAATAAATAAAGGAATATAATACAAGGAATTATTAATATATACGCTTTTCATCCCGGTACCCTTCAAACAAATAATTAATCAAAGTGTATAATACATGGCGTAAATTATATTCTAGCGTCTTTCATCTACCATATTGCCATAAACTTCACGCCAGTTTAAAATTTAATAACTTATTCACAACAATTGAAAAACAGGCCATGTATGAAGTGTCAGTAAATATACATTTTATGTTTTTGTATTGAATTCATGGAGTTTATATATTTTAAGTTATAAAATAAGGTTAACGCTTAATTATTCTCACCTTTGTTTGATTTTTCGGACACCGGAGCCGCCCACACACAGGCTATGAATAAAACACATCCAAAAACTTTATAACTATACATGGTCGAAGATTAGTACAAGAAAAGTCTATCTGAAGGTATACTTATGGTCTATCTGAAGGAATTCTTCTCTTGTCCACGCTTTAATGTGCGCTTGTTAAGTTGTCGCGGGACGATACAAGTCTGGCCGATATCAAGAGTTCTTTCATTCAATGTGAGGTATTTCTAATATTTCTAATACTAAAGAGGAGATTTTCTATAAAATATCCTTGACGTCAACCGCAGTTCCATGACAACGGCGAGCGATTGGCTAACGCAGCAATCAATCAATATATATTCCAGTATTTTGGTTTCTATCAGCTGGTTCGGTCCCAGCTTTTTCTCAATGGTTCAAGGGTTTTCATTCACACTTTCAGAAAGCAATTAAGACTAACAGAGGGTTTCGTGTATTTGACAGGATCCCCTTTATCAAATATATAGACGTGAGTATCTTCTTAAGCGAACCGCAAAGAGAAACATTTGACTGAAAGTGGCTGAAACTGCCGTGTATCTTCAGAAATCAATATTCCATTTATCACTTGTAATGCAAACATATGCTGATAGCTTTTGATAGCACATGCCAAGCACATTAGTTTATAATACAAATGTACCCGTTTATAATTAATAATATATAAATGTATATTTTGAAAATGGTTGTCTTTTTTCTGTCATTTTCCTGTTTCTACTGTACTTTTGATCAGGATGGTTTTTAGATCTAACATCCTTATTAAATCGTGACGTGGCGTGATCGCATTACTTACAGATTAGTTTACTAGTTTGTTCTTGTTTCTAATATATGGGATTTCATGTTGGCCATCATCCAGGTCATAACAAAATGTCCTTTCGTTCCGATGGTGTATCTTTTATGGAACAATACTATGATACTTTATTTATAACATGGTTATTGTACCGAATTTTTATGAAAGGTTCTATAGGTTTATATTATTTGTATTTTTTTTTTTAAAAAAATGATTGACTATAGTATTGTTGTGCTAATTATAATGTGAAAGCCTGGTGAAAATTCAGACTTGTTGGTTTTATGAATGGTTATTGCCATTATGTTTACACCTAACTTTTCCATCCGAACACCTGACAACATTTTCTACTGGGCTTATCTGAAGGGACCCCGAATGTTATTTGGTGAATTCACAAGCTTTAGATTTGCTTCAATATATGGATTCAATATTAGCATTTTGTGCATAATGCTTTCTGTCTCTATTTAAGCGTACAGTGTTCCTGCATCGTCTATGGGCCCGATTCAAGGTGAACCTTGTTAAGTTCTTTTTATCGTAATCAAGATTTACTGTCATTTAATTCGCTTATGTTCCCATGCTTACATCTTAGAATTATTGCAGAATGTTGCAAACGAGACAGAATATTCTTACTTTTTTTCCGGAAGACACTAAATCATCACTGGCTTTATATGAGGAGGTACACGAGACTATTAAAAAAATCAGATTTAGGCGAATATATTATTCTGATGTCTAATGTTGGATAAAACATGTTCTAGTACTTGGAACAGGAACAAATGTGATTATTGGTTCTTATAAGAAACTCGAAAGGTAGCATGCCAGCTGTTAATTTGTAAAATAAGGGTGGAATATTGAATTTCAACCCATATGTTAGCTTAATTGAATAAGTGAGATCCCGTTTTTTTTTCAAATCAGGAAAAAAAAAAGATCAATGCAGTAAATATCTCGATATGTTATTGTGACTATATGCGTTTCTTCAAGACGCCCTTATACGTTCATACAAAGATTTTTAGCACAGTTATTTGGTTAATGCTATTCATTATAACCTAACTTAATTGCGTCTTTACTTGAATTTGGCAAATCAATGTAAAACCTATCACAGTTGAAAAAACGTACCAAAAGACCAGGAGAAAAGCAACATTAACATTCTTAAAAAAAGGGATGACGAGTTACCCATTCTCCTAACCTGCAAGAAAGTTCAATTGGCAATAAATATTTATAATGCAATTATGTTCTATTTCAGCATCAAACAAAAGTAAGGGATAGTGCCCTTTATCATTTGTGTAGAAATCAGATCTATAATTGATCATTATAATTCTAACCGATTATAAAAGCTAAATAGTTGTATTAAACCAACGCCCTCTTATAGGAAATCCAAGCAAATTAAATATACACATTGTCATGCAATGGGGTGCTTCATTTAAAGGACCGCCGTAGCAGATGGTTAATAAACGTTTGAATAATACAAATTAGCAATGTAAACAATTAAATTAAAAAAAGAAAGAACAATTGGTTGATAGTAATAGGTTATCGGCCAGACATCGACATATTATGATGGCCCAGTGAAATAAAGAGTAAGGTTAACGTTTGGGGTCCTTGGGATAATACTTATTGGCCTTACATGCAGGACTACATTTTATTCTGAATAGTCTAAAAAGTGTATTCATCGGGATTTTCCGGAGGGTTTCTCCTTGTCAGTGGTAGAGGACAGTTGTCGAGTCGATGAAATGAGACAAAATAACGAGGTCCCGTGTACACATTGGAGTGCGGGTAAAAGATCACTTGGCAGTTGGAATTCGATATAAGAGTAGGCCGTAGCGCCGCTGTACGGGGAAAATTCCCCTAATAGTACATTGTATGGCGTATGCCCGTCTTCATTAGCCCAGTCGGAGCAGAACAGTTGGACGTTAAACCCCATTTCATTTCATTCCTAAAAGTATATACAGTATTTGTAGTTGATTCCGAAATATTGGACCTTTATGATGTAAAGACAATATTACTGTCTCTGGTGTATTTATTTAGGACATTATGTATATATATAATTCTTGCCTTAAAAGCATTATGGTCACTGCTAAACAGATAGTAATAAAGTCGCCATTGACTCCAGGGATAGGCAGACCTGTTAGATTTAATTCTGTTCTATATATGGTACTTCTGTCAAGATATACATACAATCGATATTTTATGAAAGTTTGGACGTAATACATGAAATATCCACATATACTATAGTTAACAGTAATGGGAATTCTTAACTGGTAAATAAAAGTCAAGAAATTCGTTAAATACAACTTGTTAAGAGGATGAGAGACGTTAGTAAAATTTTATTCTGAAAGGAATCACAAACAGATTATTTACCCTAGTTCCCTGTGACAAAATCGGTTAGAGCGACAACTTTGTCTTCTAACACTGCTTCACGGAATGATATTCTGTGCTAGGTCACAGCCATAACGTAACGTATTTTGAACTCATGCCAGAAGACAAAGGAATATAAGTAAGTAACGATCCTGACAGCATAATAAATATTAGATTAGAATTGATGAAGATAGGGACATATGCTGGCATATACTGAAAGATAATGATAACGTAAACTCATTAAGCCAGAAATAATATACTCATAAATTACGTTTGTTTTTGTCATTACGAACTAATCATTCACAACACGAAAGGCTGAATTTCTGCAAAGATGTGTCGAATACATCATTGATATAATGTCATCAACAGTACTAATAATCACTGTCGCAGATACAATTTTGTTTTAATAATGTATTAATATGTTTTATTAAACCCAAAATGAAAGTATGATATATTTACATGTTACCCAAATTTCTTAGGTAGTCAAAACTAAAGTCCCTTTCCCGTTTCTAAATAAGATTCCTTGGTAGATTGTAGGGAATTCACATCTAAATGTTCGAAAACGGTCAAACACCGAGGTCTGTCATCCACTTGAAAAGACTGGGTAAAGAAATATTTCAGACTATACTGCTAGATAGGGCTATTACAAATTAATAGTTTACTGGGAGGATTGTAAGGTGTAAAAAAACATATTTCTAATATACATAATAAGTAACACACAAATATAGAAACAGATAGTATTGAAACAAGGTGCAAATTAACACAGCTTTGCAAACAACATTTAAAACGTTTAGTTGCGGTTCTGAACACAACCTTTCGAACAATGAGTTGTTTTGATTGTTGAATAAATTGCTGTTATCCCTTAGTCGAAACAGAATCAGTTATCCTTGATTGTAGATTTTAAATAGCACATAGTCGCAATATAGCAGTACCAACATAAAGACGTTGTTGTCATGACCCTACAAAGTCAAAGTAAAAGAAATACTTACAGAACCATGGTCAAACTACAAATTAGCATCATCGTCGGTGGAACTATGAGATTGATATAATAATTTGTCCAGGTCCGTTGAGGGATGCTATGATTCATTATCATTACAATGTATTCTAATAATAATATTAAATGATTTGGCAATTATGAGAAAGCTAAGAAAAAAGGTGGGGGGGGGGTCTCTCTGCTCCTTCTGATTGATTATATGTTTCACAAGTACATGTTTTGATAGCTATGTCATGAGAAAAGTCTTTAGGATGAGCAAGTATTTGGTGTTCCCCATAAAGGCCTACCTCAGACAAAATACAGAGAACTTGTCGATCGGAGAATTGGTCGATTGCACAACCTGCTTTTGCGGACAGACATGGAAAAAGAAGAAAAAAAGTTTTTGCCATTATTACGCCAAAATAATTCAGCCATAATAAAATTTTCGCAGCTCTTCTTATTATTTATCAATCATAAATTTGTCCAGGTACCGATAAGTCGTCTTTGAATTATAGTGTATCATCCGTTAACTCTTATCTAGTCCGGTGGCAGAAGTGGGGCGGGAATCGTCACCCGAGCTGTGAATTTATGAGACCAAGTTTTTCTAACCCAGTTTTTTTCCGTAGATTCCGAATCTGTGTGGTGATCAGGCGTTTGAGGGGGCGATGTCGAGATATGGCGGGTCCAATGTTTACAATTGGGGAGAAATGTGATTATGTTGACATAAATGATGGTCAAGTTATATATTAATAAAACATTTCTAGGATTTGTGGGTTGGGGTTTGCGTGTTTGCAAGAGTGGAGGGGGGGGGGGTGGCGGGAAATGAGTTCACCTCGGTATAACTGAAGATTTGCTTAGAGCTTGGTAAAAACATTAAATTTAATGTCGCTGCACATCTCTAAATATGTGTATAAGATTTCCATTGTATGTGTGTGTGTGTGTGTGTGTGTGTGTGGTGGTGGGGTGGGGGATTTTTGGGGACAGAAACCACTTGGTTCAAAATTGAACTGAAAAGTGGCTTCTCGTTAGCTTTTTCATTTAGTACCAATTTCGTTATTCAAAATATTACATTATAATGGTACTTTTCAAGAGATAAAATCCAAATTTT